GAGCATCTTATAAATCAAAAAAAAATAAAAAAAAATTAATCTGCTCGTGTAAAAACACACGAGCGCTTGAAAAGCGTTCGTGTGAAATCACACGAGCACTTTGCAACCGCTCGTGTGTTTTTACACGAGCAATTAAAAAAAATAATAATAAAAATGCCTGCTCGTGTGGATTTACACGAGCACAGTGGATGCGCTCGTGTAAATTCACACGAGCAGGCCAATGTGTGATTTTTTTCGTTTTTTTTCCAGATTCGTAATCTACATAACAAGAGGATCGTAAAAACGTAAAAATTACCTCCGATCTGTTGACGATTTGCACGGGCTTTGCGAAAGAAAATCGAAAGTTTGAGAGAGTTTTGAGTTTTTTTACTTTTTGTTTTTTGAAGAATGGTAAAAAATGTGCCTGAATGTTTAATTTTGGCCTGCACAAATCATTTCAAGTTACAAAAGGTAATACATATCGAGTAACAACAAAATCAGAAGTCCCACTAAATAATTCTTCTACTCCTAAAATACATGCCACGTCATATATTTTTATTGGAATTTCTTGTTATGATTTACTTTTAAGAGAAAAAAAATATGTTTTTCTATAAAATAAAACCAAAACAATAGTTAATAGAAATTATAAAAAAAAAGTATGTAAAAATAATGGAAGTTGAATAAAATTATTGTTGAAAATAAAAGTGGGGATATATATTTGATTCGGTAAAATCAGTATCTTGGCCCGTTCAAAAGAGGATGGCCCAACAAGGGCCCAATAGGAAGACTCCCGCAGGGCCCAGCATGGAGGCGAGAGGAGGACGGCCCCTCGCTAGCTGAGGAGGAAGGGATTGTCTTTTCGCAGGCTAGAGGTCCGACATAGCCGCCTCACATTTAATGCATGTCTCCTCATGTGTCATGAATATGAGGGAATATGCAGTTTTGGGAATATGTAGCACACAACACTTTTCCTTGAAGAGACAAGTTAAGCTCAACTGAATCTTTATTTGGAGTCCGGAATAATTTGATTAGACGGGTTAAATTGGAGTAAAATCCAGATTGATATCCAAATTTTTCTATAAATAGTAAAATGTCAGATAAGCACACACACGCCTCTATAATTCAAAAATAACTCATTAGTTAGCGAGAGCATCCTATATTAAAGGAACCTACTAATTTCGTCGTCGGAGTGCTAACTCCGGCATCAGCCCGGTTTTTCTTTTTCTGGTCTTATTCTGCAGAACCCGGTATGAAGGAAGAATTCGGTGTAAACAACATCAACGGATTCGGCTAAATCAATATTTACCTTAAAGAAGGGTATAATACGTAAAATATATAATTCAGAGGGGGTAAGTGAAAATTTTGATTGTATAAGGGAGGTAAATGAAAGCAGCCCTTAAATTAACTAAAACTTATAGATTAATGTTTAATTAAAAATCTCATTAGTTATACTTGAATTAAAATCTGACGGAAACAAACAAATTAATAAGAAAAACTTATACTTTAAATGTATTTGAAAACAATTGTATGTATTCGAATGAAACGGCACTACTAAATAATAATCATATACAATTAGGACTAGGAATCCTAGTACTTCAAAGATATTAATAATGTTATATATACAGCAAACGAAGAGAGAACTCTACGTGTTCCTTCTTAATATAATTAACTTTCTTGTCAAAAAAAAAAAAGAAAAAAAAAAAAAGAAAACAAAGACGAACGATGTTGTCGCCGGAGATAATTAATGTCTGGCCCCACAATCTCATGTCGGAATTTATTCGCATCAACAACTGTGCATCACTGTTTCCGTACGTCTCCATTGACACGGAATTTCCAGGGACCGTATACCACCAGACCAATATACCCAGACACTCGCTAGAGACTCTCTCCCCGACGGAATTCTACGCCGTGATGAAGAGGAATGTGGATGCGTTGAAGCTCATCCAACTCGGCCTCACCCTCTCCAGTTCCGACGGCAGGTCCCACTGCTCGTGGGAATTCAACTTCCGAGATTTCGATTCCGATCGCGATCTCCAAAACCCCGAATCTGTATCCTTCCTGAAGCGTCAGGGGATCGATTTCTTGAAGAACAAGCAACAAGGAATCGAATCATGGGTATTTGCTTTACTGTTCAGGCGATACATCGCCGGGAAAGAGTTGAAGTGGGCCACGTTTCACGGGCCGTACGATTTAGGGTTCCTGATCAAGATTCTAACCGGGATGGAACTGCCGGAGAGTTTGGATGGATTTATGATGCTCGTGAGGGGTTTCCTCGGTTACGAGGTCTATGATTTGAAGAACGTGGTTCGAGTTTTTGGGCTAGGTGGGGGGCTTGAGGGGGTGGCTAGAAGTTTGAATTTGGAGAGGGTGACGGGGAAAAGGCATCAAGCAGGTTCGGATAGTTTAATGATCATCAGGGTGTTTTTCGAGCTGAAGGGAAAGTGTTCCGAAGAAGAGATGAATCGAGTTTTGCAGAGGTTCAAGTATAAGTTGTATGGTTTGTCTTGAGTTGGTTTTATGCATGCATGCATACAAAACCCTTGCTAGTTGAAGAAAGGGTTTTGTTGTTAAAATGGGGTCCTCGGTAAATTGGTAACCAGGTTTAATTTTGGACCTAGGGTTTTTCCCCTCTGCTGTTGGAGCGTAGAAATAGTTGAGTGGGAGATTTTATATTATTGATTAATTTAAATTGAATTTCGTATTTGGCTTACAGGGGAAATGAATTTGTAGTTAATTTTTTTTTTTTAATCAGAATTTGTAGTTAATTATGAAGGTTCATGTTTTATTTTTTTTGTTTTTTTGGGGGTCAAAATTTAAATATTCAAAGTAGGATTATAAAGTCTGAAGGGCCAGTTGAAACAATTTACCTTTTCAGGGGGCATGTTTTTTAATTACAAGATTAACTTATGGGGTAATGGCAAATAGGCCCATGACAAGGGCACTTAATTAAAAGAGGGACATCCAACTTTTTTGTCTTTCAAATAAATCGACCACATTCAAACTTATTTGCAAATTAGGAAAATCTCTTTATATATACCAAAATTACCCCCAATTCAATGAAACTCAGTTCAACTTCAATTTCATAATTTACCACCAATTTAGCTCAATTTCATCAATTAACCAATTTTAACCCTAATTTCAATTTTGACCCACCACCACCGAAGACCGCCGGTCGCCGCCGTTGACCGCCGACGATCTGGCGGTCTCCGGCGTTGACTTTTTTTTTTATTTTTTTTTTTGAAAAACATTTTTTTTCCGGCCGGTCAACTGCCGTTGACCGCCGGGTCTCCGGCGTTGACTTTTTTTTTTTTTTTTTTTTGTTGTTTCTTAAAAAATATTTTAATTAATATTACTGTCTTGGCTGCTAAATTACTGTCTCCGGCAGTTATTTAACTGTCGGAGACAGTAATTTAACTGTTAATTGACTTTTTTTTTCTTCAAAAATATTATAATTAATATTAATGTATTCGTTGTTAAATTACTGTCTCCAGCAGTTATTTAACTGTTGGAGACAGTAATTTAACTGTTAATTGACTTTTTTATTCTTAAAAAAGATATTTTTAATTAATATTACTGTATTCGTTGCTAAATTACTGTCTCCAGCAGTTATTTTACTGTCGGAGACAGTAATTTAACTGTTAATTGACTTTTTGTTTTTTTTTTTTTTCTTAAAAAAAATATTTTTATTAATATTACTGCCTTGGATGCTAAATTACTGTCTCCAACAGTAATTTAACTGTCTTAGACAATAATATTAATAATATTACTGTTCGGGAAAATAATATTCATAATATTACTATCCCAAACAGTAATATATAATATTACTGTCTGAGACAGTAATTTAGTAGCCAAAACAATAATATTAATTAACATATTTTTTTTTCTAAGAAAAAAAAAATTGAAAAAAAAAAAGTGAACGCCGGAGACCGGCGGTCAACGGTGGTTGACCGGCCGGAAAAAAATTTCAGGAAAAAAAAAAAGTTTTCAAACAAATATAAAAAAAAAAAAAAAAAAAAAGTCAGCGCCGGAATCTGGCCGGAAAAAAATATTTCAGAAAAAAAAAATTTCTGAAAAAAAAAAGTTTTGGGGGTTAATGTGATATATTTGTTTACATCTGGGGTCAATGTGTAATATTAAGGAAGTTAGAGCATAATGGATGGAATTGATAAGAATTATATTATTGAAGGTATTTTAGACTAAAGACATGGGGATGGGTTTAATTGAGAGACTGTTTTTTTTTTTGTGGACCAAAATGCATTTAAGTCCCATGTGATGGGCCTTTTTGCCATTCGCCCTTAATTTGTATACTAATAGTGCAATTAATAAAAGTTAAAGAGCGGACTTGGCTTCCATCTCTACTGCATTTCAATATAAAAAAAAAAAAAAAACAAAATAATTCCATATATGTGAATTTTAAATTGACTAAAATTACTCCAAATTAAGATGATATAAATAAGGGTAAATTACAAACACCCCCCTGAGGTATGGTTAAATTACAAAAACCCCCCTCTTGTTTGGATAATTACATCTACCCCCCTCAACTATGATTTTTTCTTACCTTTATGGTGCCAAATTCAACATAGTCATCTAGATTCCGTGAAATGTGCTCTAGTTTGTACTATTTGTGTAAAAAATACAGTTTCCGATGCACCACAAACTGATATATACAAGCTAAAAATCACATATTATGGTCATCTTGCTTCATAATGTAGAGTTTGAATGGGATAAAACGGGTACAAAAGTGATAATATTCCATATAATCTCGAAGATTCCACTAAATTTGATGAGTTGAGGGGGGTGGTTGTAATTATCCAAACAAGAGGGGAGTTTTTGTAATTTGGTCATACCTCAGGGGGGTGTTTGTAATTTACCCTATAAATAATGAGAAACACCTTCCACGGGCTGTACGATTTCGCGTACTTGACAAAGATTCTGAACGGCGGGCAATTGTTGCCGAATGATTTAGATGAGTTTATGAGGCACGTGTGGAAGTATTTCAAAACGAATGATTCCGTTTGTTGGATTGCATGGGGATTTGGAGAAGGGGGGTCGTGACCCCCGCGGTGTGAACTTAATGGTCGCCGGAAGAACCGGTTTGGAGATGATGCAAACATTATTCGGGTTGTTAGAGTTGATGAAGAGGAATAGTTGTTCGGGTTTTTCGGACGGGTTGCTGATGATGCAGACGTTATTCGGGTTGGATGCTCGCCCCGTCTTTTGAGTTGATGCGGGAATTGTTTAGATAAATATCATTATCTAAATAATGTTATTGTTATGTTATAACCCTATAAGTTGGTGAACAAATACATTCTATAAATTGTGAATAATATATACGATTTTTGCTTTTTCCTTTTTACTATAATCCACTTAGGCCCCGTTTGGTTGGTAAGATAAAATTAGTCAAGATAAGATTAAAAAATTTAATGAGCTTCAATTATTTTATTGGAGCTTGAAACGTCAAAAAAAACACATTAAAAGGCAAGATAAGTTAAAATAAATCAAGATAAGCCATGATTATATAATTTTGACAGGTCGACCCGGCAAGTTATTGACGATACCAAACATCAGATTAAGTCCAACTATTTAGTTAATCATGACTTATCTTGTCAATTAAACGGGGCCTTAATTAGTAAATTATATAAATTTGATGGATTGTTAAATTCTTGAAGACCTACCCATAAACCTTGTTACAAAATAATCTTAAGCTCATTTAAAAAATCAAAAAATAAAATAAATAAAATAAATAAATAAAGAGAAAAAGACCTCATGATAAGCGGCTGGACCATCATCCAGCATATGACTCCCTTCATTCCATCTGTCGTGACAATTTAACCGTATGATCATACCACTTTAAAGCCTTTTTAGGTGTCTGAAAAATATTAATTTAATGATAGTTTTAGTTAAACCTTAATATATTAATTTAAGTTGATTTATGAAGGTTAATTTTTACATTTAAAAAAAAGGAAAATTACGAAAACCCCTTAAACTTAGGTGAAATAATAAAAAATACCCCCACTTACTCGTAATTACCACAAAACCCCAAAAGTTTGTTTCCTTCTTACACCAACCCCTCACAATGTGACTTTTCACGGATTTTGTTTACTTATTCCAGGGAATAGACTTTACGCAATTTCAGATATTTTCTTTTATTTATGACTTATTTAACAAAAGGTATAACAAAAATCGAAAAGGATTAAAAAAAAATCGAAAAATATTTTTTTAACGAAAAAAAAAGGGAAAGCCTGAAGAAAACAAAATTCGAAAAAAAGTTAAATAAATTGAAAAGGATAAAAAAAATTAAAAATTTAAAAATTTAAAAATAAGAAGATGAAAACTATGTATAATAAGAAAGCTTAATTCGGTTATTTTTAATTGATTGAGTTAATGTTAAGGAAACCAAATATAAAACACTATTAAACAATAGGGAGATAAAAAATTTAAGATTTCATAAGAAACATCCTATAGGTCTATCTATATCTTATAAAATAATAGGCCTATTAATTTATAAAGAAAAATATCTTATTTTATTTTCTATAGCGCAACCTCATTTTTCTTTTTGACCTTTTTTAGAATGGAAATACCTAACCTATAGAGTGGAAAAAAAAAAGAATGAACGAAAAAAAGTGAAATGACGTGAGATTTATGAGGAGTTATTATGGAGAGAGTGTGACATGGGCATTTCGGGTAATTTGAGTCAAATGGACTTATGTCAAGTATTAATTAATAAAATAGATTTATCATGAAGTTAAAATTCAATAAAGGGTGTTTGTCAAAATAGTTCATTATTTAATTGCAAACAACAAGCTACGAAATGCAAAAAACAAACAAAAAAAGAATGTGCATCATTATATTGCAAAATTGTTTTTTCTAATTTACATTCATTTTGGTGTTTGCTATTTACTGAAGTAATAACTAATTTGATGTTGAAATATTATTTTACTATTACAATTTGCATTTTGCAATTATAAATTTATTTCACAATTTTAATACCGAAAACGAATGTAAAATATCAAAATTGAATTTGAAATAACAAAATTGAATTAAAACTTGCATTATGTTGTTGAAAATTTTAATTTGCATTATGTTGTTTAATTTATAATTTGCATCATGAGAGAGACAAGAGAAAGAGATTGAGATAAAGGTAAGAGGAGAAAGATAGAGACTAATATATGTTGGATTTGTTTCATTATTTTACATAAATAATAATTTTTATATAAATATTATTCGAGGGTATTTATGTCGTTATACTAATAATTAAATTTATGGTAAATTTCACTATCCCCTTGTACTTTGGCTCGATATCACTGTACCCGCTTCTACTCTCGATTGTATTGGAAACGGTTATAAAATATTATTATTGAGAGGTGGTTGTAATTACTCATATAAGAAGGGGGTTTTCGTAATTTAATCATACCTCATATGTGGTTGCAATTTACCCTAGTTAATATATATTTGGGCCTACCCTATTTTTGGTAATATTTATTTCTAATTCCTGTATAAAAAGCCTGAAACAAATATTATAAAATAAAAGTTGGAACCGACAAAAAAAAAAATTCAATACGTGAAGAAATCCTTAGTTCGATAGTGGTTGGGTCTTAATCAATTTGATGCAAATACCAAAAAGGAAAATCCTAATTCGATAGTGATTGGTTGTTAATCAAATTGAATGAGTTGAACTCTTCCTAAAGATTTAGTTACCATAATTAATATTTGGCATAAAAACCCAAATACTTGCCTTTCAAGTTACCCATATTCTTTATATATACCCTACTTCCGCACTACAGATCTACAATACAACCAAAGAAAAATAAAACAGAAAAAAAAAAATCACTATTGCACAAAACAATGTCGCCTTCTTCTTCTTCGTCTCACGTACAAGTACGCCATGTTTGGGCTTCAAATCTGGAGGAAGAGTTTCGTTACATCGATATGTGTCTGCCGCCCGATCGCCGCCAGTTCATCTTCGTCTCGATGGACACCGAATTTCCGGGGACAATTTACAACCCCGACGGGGTGCCATCACACATGCGCCCCCCGGTGGAATTCTACTCCAACATCAAAAGAAACGTCGATGCGCTAAAACTGATCCAACTCGGCCTGACAATATTCGACAGGTACGGCAATCTACCCCGCTCGGCGGAAACCGGTCTGGAGCAAATTTGGGAATTCAACTTTCAGTTTGATTCTGCCGTCGACCCCCATAACACGGAATCCGTATCCTTACTCGAGAAACAAGGGATCGATTTGTCGCGGAACAAGAAATACGGGATCGACTCACGCGAGTTCGCCCTGCAGTTCAAGTGCTCGGAGCTGGGGATGCGGTCGTGTTCCGGCAGTCTGGTCTGGCTCACCTTCCACGGGCCGTACGATTTCGCGTACTTGACAAAGATTCTGAACGACGGGGAATTGTTGCCGGATGATTTAGATGGTTTTATGAGGCAAGTGTGGAAGTATTTCAAAGGGAATGTCTACGATTTGAAGAGTATGATTCCGTTCGTCGGACTTCACGGGGGTTTGGAAAAGGTAGCTCGGAGTTTGAACTTGAAGAGGGCCGTCGGAAAAAGTCACCAGGCGGGCTCCGACAGCTTGCTGACGATGCATGCGTTTTTTGGGTTGATGAAGAATTGCTTGGAGATGGGGGGTCGCGACCCCCGGGCGAGTAGTTTGAACTTGATGATCACCGGAAATACCGGTTTGGAGAGGATGCAGACATTATTCGGGTTGTTCGGGTTGATGAAGAGGAATAGTTGTTCGGGTTTGGACGGGTTGCTGACGATGCAGACACTATTCGGGTTGAATGCTCGTGCCGTCTTTTGAGTTGCTGCGGGAATTTTCATTACTTAAATACACTTTAAGTAGCAAATGTAACATTTACCCCTTATTAACAGATTTAGTAACAATGTGAGGCTATAGCATCTATGATTATATATATTAATGCAATTTTATTAAAGAAATTTCAAACTAGTTACAGGATACAATGCTGAAACTTTGCTCTTTTCAGTCTTTTATTATTAAAAGAAAACAATAATAATAAAAAAATGCTCGATTTTTGCTAGTATAAAAACCGAAATATGCTAAATTAACTACGAAGTTCCACGACGAAAATAGCAATATTCCGATTTTTTCTTGAATATATAGAGCATTTTACGTATGCGTTAGAGAAAGCTCCTTAGCCTCCTCGAAGCTTCAAGTATGTTTTCTCTTTGACCGAATGCAGTAACCCTTATAAACTCTTTCCCAGCTGGACCAAATCCACTCCCCGGAACTGTAATTATGTGCGTTTTCTCGAGAATTTCACCAAACACGTCCCAAGAATTCGAACCGGGAAAATGCACCCAAAGATACGGCGCGTTTACGCCTCCGTAAACTCTCAACCCCATCGACTTAAAAGTCTCCAACAGAATCTCGGCATTCTCCTTGTAGTAGTCGATAAGTGAGATTACAGCCTGAAATAAAGTTTCGATATTAACCATTTTGCCCAAAAAAAAAAAAAAAGTTTAGAATCACTTATTGCAAACTTAACTTGTGATGTAAGAAACTGACCTTAAAACCCTCTTTGGATAAGCTAGCTAGCCCACCTGCTTGAGCTATTCTCGAAGCTCCATTAAAGCATGTACATACAATTCGATTGAAGTCGTTTATTACAGGAAATCCATTCGAGTACAAGAGTTCTTTTGGCACTACGGTCCAGCCTAAGCGGACCCCGGTGAATCCAGCAATCTTGGAGAAGGATGAGACTTCTATAGCAACCTGTGGCAAAGAATAGAGTCGAAATTAACATGTGAATTTTATCATTTTTATTTATGGTAACAAATAGAGTTTCAAACGGATTTTATAAACGATCACTTTTTTTTTATAAGTTTACCTTTTCAGCCCCGGGAATTTCGTATATCGAACGAGGACTTTCATCGGAAATATAAACAGCATATGCCGAGTCGTATACGATGATGGATCCATTCTCTTGTGCGAATCGAACGACTTGTTCTAATTGCTGACGAGATGCTGCATGGCCAGTGGGGTTGTTTGGAGAGCAGAAGAAGATAACATCTGTTCTACCGGTTTTCGAGAGATCGGGGAAGAAACTATTCTCGGGTTCACATTTCATGTACTGGATATTTTTATACGACCCCGATTCTTTCTCGACATCGCCAGCCTGTCCGATTATCACGCTTGAATCTATATAGGCCTGTCTTGATTCATGTATTGTAAGAAAACATCAAAAGTAACATAAATATGTAAAGAACACACGTCGTAATGCATGATGGAATGATCGGTACATAAATACTTTCAAGCCATTTCTGAGAAGCGGAGAAACAAGAAACAATACAGTAGAACCTCGATAAATTAATACTCAATAAATTAATAACCTTGATTAAATAATAGTTTCTCACTGTCCCGACTCCGTGAAAACGTGTTAAATTATCAACTCGATAATTTAATAAATCGCTAAATTAATAGAATTTCCCTAGTCCCGACTGCATTAATTTATAGAGGTTATTTATAGAGGTTAACTGTACATGTAAAAGAAAGATGAGTAAATGATCACAATTTCAAACAATGATAATTGAGCAAATCTGAGTTATATATACTATTGAAATCTGAGAATATATCTGAAATTAAACGAGAACGGAATCACGGGAATTTACTATATAGTTTCCTGAATTAATGATGTGGGGAGTCTCATATCATGATTTCTTGTTTTTCGTAGTTTATTTATTAGTTTCCTCTATTTATTTTCCGGGTTTTCATTATTCAGATCAGAGAATTAACCATTTTCTCAATCACGTTTCTTTCTTTTTTTTAGATACACTATTACTTACAAAATTTAATATCAAAGTAACGAAAGTTTCGAACTATCACCGGAAAAATTGGATCTTGAACCGCAATGGACATTTTAGATCCAAAGAGAAGCTGCAAGGAAACAAAGCAAATTGTTAAATCACTTCCCAAAATCCCAGCTGAGCCAGCATAGGGCTATGGGGGCCATGGCCCCCCACCCCTTTTCAAGAATCTAGTTTTGTTATAAAGTTTTTTTTTAATTTTGAATGTATATGCGGTCACAAAATTCTGACCCCGCCACTGCAGAAGCCTAATGCCACATCTCAGTTATTACGTACATTTTTTTCTGGACGAACGGGATAAAAATAATACCTGCAAACGAGATATATCGCACTGTGCACCGTCTGATACAAATACTTCCGTGTCTTTTATGCCCATATCTTTGTAGAATGTCTCTGCTATTGCTTTCCTTAGTTCCTGCAACACCGGGGACTTGAGTTTTTGCCTTGGAGAAAACGAACTTCACAACATCTTATACACGATTACAATATCTTCTTATAAATTAATTTTTCAGTAGACGAACATAAAATAAAGGCTTAGATCTAGTTAACACGCACGACCAAGTTATAAAAGAAGAAGAAGACAGATGGCGATCAAGCATTGCTTTACCTTGCTACCTTGTTCAGCTCCATACCCCCTGTAACCCGTACGTGTTGAGAGGCTGTGTGCATACTGGAAAAATAGAATGTCAGCAAACATAAAACAATGCATTGATATAAACGAGGAGGCATGAGCATGCAATTTTGTGACCAAGTACACCAAGAAAGCAAAACATTTATTCACACGGTAAAAAAAAACCACAATTTTCGAGGTCGTATTAAAAATAACTATTATTCTTCAAGAAAACCAGGCGAAATCCTGCCTTCATAAGATAACAAATCATCAACACCACAAACATTAGAGTTCGCTCGAAACTTACGTTAGCCATGCTCGAAGCCACAACATCTGGTAATGGCTCCGTAGTATCACCAATCCCAAGGCTGATCACTTTTGCATTAGGATATTTCTTAATGTGCTCGAGTTCACGTGCAGAAATCTGTAATATATAGCAAGCCATTACATTCACAATAGCAGGTGATTAAAAGTTTCATTTTCCATCAAAAAGATTAAAAAAAAAATTAATAAAAAAAGGAAAAAATAGGTAATCGGGCTGTCCTGCAGCAAAGAATACAAGGATAGATACGAACGAACTACCAACCTCAGGGAACAAATAGTTATATTGCAGCCTCTCCAATGTTGGATTACGAGCAACTTTTGTACGATAACTTGTAACTGCATGAATTATAAATATTGTTCAACAATGATATATACTGATGAAAAATCTCGATTCGTCTTACAATAAAGGTGATCACATACCGTTTCCATTGTCTTGTGATGTGAAGCTGCATGAAAACCAAATGACACAATGCATTATTGAAGAGGCAAGTATAGATATAATAAACAGATTACGAAGAAAAACAAAGCTCAATCTAATGCATTACCTAGCTCTAGTTCGATAAATGGTTTTGCAAGGCATGAAACTGAAAGATAAACTCTTATACATTTTCGGAGCTAACTTATAAATGTCAAAATAGTAGATAATAGATAAAGTATGAATGAGCACATTTTACGAATGGAGGGGCGACCGAGTTTTATACTCGTGCTAATAGCAAAAGAAAAGGTTGTGTCGCTCTCAGGTTGCATCCTCGTCTGATGTCAAAGTAGGAATGCCTTGAATAAGTCCTGTAATTTTTGGTCCTTTAAACTTTACGTGTTCACACGTGCGAAAAAAATCTAGTGGTTCAGAAACATAGATGATATTCCATGGTCTCTTTTCTCCATTCGTAGTTGTTGGATTATGGCATCCGCGTAATTTACAAAACATAGACCAGAACAAGATTACCTTTTTAAAAGCTCCTACTTGTGATTTCTTCCCTTAGTTAATTGTTCTATACACCAAAAACAATCAACGGAAAACCAAAACTTTGTGCTATGGCTTTGATAGTCGTGCACTTCAGTAAAGGAAACTTATAAAGTATAGAGTTTGACCAAATACTCCCTCGAGAACATAGCAATACTTTAATGTACCGCCAGATAATCGCAAACCAATTCGGAAGATATATAACACAACGAGATTATAAGTGTGGTTGAGTTGTTATATGTGCAATTTGATCCAATTTTTTTTACTGTGCATTAGATTCAAGTTGTACTGAAGAGAAATCGATCCAACAGTTAATATGGATGCCTATGCATTAAACCATAGCCATGCAGCAAGAAATCGAAGTCATATTACTAATCTTAAATGCACATGACAAATATTATCTTCCATCTTTGAAATGTCAATAGGAAAATGTCCTCGTCTTCCATTTCCATGCAGCAAAGAAAAACATTCAAAACTACGATTTTGACTTTACAAGTGGTTAAAAAGACATAGAGACAAATAAAAGTAATCGGGGCTTTTTTTTCCACACTTTACTTTCACATTAGTAAAGATTCTATACAACGTTGGAGGCTTATACATTCACCGTATTTTCTAGTCCAGCTGTGCATAATTGATAATTATGGTTGAATTCGCAGACTCAGAGTACGGTTTTTTCCATCCAATTGCAAAAAAAAAAAAAACAAGCATGCTTCCACATTTATATATACTTCATATTCTAACTACATGTTATCTCACCTAACTTCCACAAAACTTCATATGAAATTTACGATTATTTAATCAGAGTTCGGCACCAAATTGACAAATATTAGAGGCGTTTGATCTTTTCGAAAAACCATCATTACTAATGAGCAAAAACATTGTATCTTGATAAAGTAAAAGTAACATTTTTTTCCACAAGAAGCCCACATTTGGTGATGCAAAGCCTCGTTGGAACCGAGAAGAAAAAAGGGCAGAGAAAACGAAAGGTCCACCAAACTATACAGCTCCATGCATGTGTGTAAAATGGAATTGACCTTTCGAAAAAGAAATAAAAAATTGAATCATATTTTATACCAAGAATGCACATTCTTTCCATACCAAAACACCTATAACAAAAGCATCCACTATCCATCCATAATAAGTTATAACTTAATTCTGTTGAACAATTCTTGACATAAAAATAAAGGGTAGATTCCGGTCAACCCCTGAGGTAAGTCAAATTACGTAAAAGCCCCTCATGTTTAGGTAATTACAACCACCCACGAACTATGAATTTTCTTACACGTCCACCCTTGCGGTGTCGAATTTAGTAGAATCTTCTAGATTATGTGGAATATTCTCCTGTTTCTACCTGTTTTACCCCATTCGAGCTCCACATTTTAAAACAAGATGAACATAAGATGTGTCTCTTGGTTTGTCAATATCAGATTGCGGTGCATAAGAAACTGCATTTTCGCAAAAAAACGAGTACAAACTAGAGAATATTTCACGGAATCTATAAGATTCCGTTGAATTTGACACCATAAGGGTGAACATGTAAGAAAATTCATAGTTGAGAAATGGAAGAGGGCTTTTCGTAATTTGACATTACCTCGGGGATTAGGCCGTAATTAACACAAAAAAATAAAGAAACAAAGAAGCCAACTGCAATAGGAACACATAAGCAAGCACTCTTGCTCCAAAATTACGTAAACCCATAAACAAATTTCAGAAGGAAGACTCTCGCGATTGACCTTTCGATCGAAATTCATATAAAAAGACCACATTTTTATAGTCTGATTATAACTACGCAGCAAATTACCCCACCAAATCAACTGCATGTATACGACATTGCAGAGTCAAACTAGGGAGATTTCATAAAGAATGCAGAAAATCTGTTTGAGAAAAAAACAAAAAATATTCAATTGACCTAATTGAGTCGTGAATTTGGGCCACGTACCTTTGGAATTTGACTGCGATGGAAACTCCCCCATTGTTTTACAGCTCTGTAAAAATCTGATGAGACGTTTAAGAGAAAAAAGGGAAAGAGGAGATTCCGCCATTGTTTCGCAGCTCAGTAAGCTGCGGCAATGGTACGATGCCTTTTCCCCCATTGTAGATTTCTTCTGCTTGATACATAAACATTTGCTACCAATGAAGAACTGATTCTGGAATTCGAAATCCTAATCTACACTGATAGTGTATTTTTTATTTGGGTAAATTTCACTTTCACCCTTGTACTTTTGGCTCGATATCTATTTACCCCTGCTACTTTCGATTGTATCGATTTGCCCCATGCACTTGAAAATTTATCACAGTGTGGCCCTCACCGTTAATTTTTCACACTTTGACCTTAACACCGTTTGGTCAAAGGTCTGAAATCTACAAAAAAAACTACTCCTTCAAGTTTAAATAATTATAGAAAAAGTTGAAAAATAATTTTTGGTTTTTCTTTTTGTTTTTTTTAACGGTTATTTAAACTGGTGGTGGTATTTTCGTAATTTCAGAGAGCTTAGATTAAACAGAGTTAAAGTCAAATGTCTAACAACTAACAGCGATGACCACATTGAGACATTTTTTTAAGAACAGGGGGCAAGTCGATGCAATCGAGAATAGGAGGGGGCAAGTGATACCAAGACAGTAGAATGGAGAAAAGTGGAATCCGCTCTTTTTATTTATTAAATGTCATATTTGTAATTCATCAATATTATTATAATAACTATACTTTCGTAATTAAAAATAAAATAAATAAAATCTAAAATATGAGAACAAGAAATTGCTAAACCATCTTGTTTCTTATATATATTGACTAAAAATGGACCTAGCTAATAAAGTTGCAATTTGGGAAATTTTATATTCTCTTACAACATAGTCAAACTCAAGAGTGATTTTAATGGTGATTTATCAATGAAACAGTAAAGTAATGAACAAGAAAGGTAAGATAGGGGAGAGAGAGAGAGAATGAGGTGAGAAAAAAATAGAATAAACTCTGCATAATAATTTCTCACTGCTAGTTCGGGTACATATATTAACGGTGCATAAAATGAAAATATTCTGGTACTAGCTACTAATAAAAAGCTGACAGCTGTCCTCCTATTAATCTGCAAATATCAGTAATCTGTTTTGCCTGTCCCCTCACGCGCGTGGGAAATAACACGCACCCCTTTGTAAAATGCTTAAACTAGCCCAACTCCATTCTGCAGCCCATTACCTTTCGGCCCACTGATATTGACTCCCAGCCCATTCGTGATAATGCCTTCACCGGTTTCAAGCCCAATTTCCATAGAATGCTGAACGATGTCGTTTCGAAAACAACACAATATCCCCAATTCATTCGGTTCTATCTCCTCAGCCCTAATTTGATTTCGAAAAGTACGTTTCCCCTTTTTCCCCCAAATCCATTTCTTCAATTCAGCATCGGCCATGACATTACCCCCGCCTGAAGATGATCCTTGTCCCCAAGGATCGAAAGTGGGAAACTTTCTGCGAACGGCCGTGAGGTCCTCCGATCCCAAGTGGCGTCATCAGGGAACGAAGGGTCCCACTGAACAAGTACCTGCTGAACGGGAATGGAAGCGCGTTCAACAGTGCGGAAATTAAGGGCTTTTACTGGTGCAACCACGAATGCACCCTCCTTGTCAGTAAAAGGTAAGACCGGGTTGGGTAAAGTTTTCGAGCTCAGCTTTTTCTTGAGTAGGGAAACATGGAACACATTATGAATCTTGGCACCGTCTGGTAGTTGTAAACGATAAGCAACTGGTCCAGTTTTCTCTATAATAGTATAGGGACCATAATACTTATTTGATAGCTTATGGTTCTTGCGGAGTGCTACTGAAGTTTGTCTGAATGGCTGTAGTTTTAGGTACACTTCATCCCCAACTTCAAAACTTTGTTCAACCCTCTTTCTGTCTGCATACACTTTCATACGATTCTGTGCTTCCAGTAGATTGTCCTTGACCAATCTCACCACCTGGTTCCTCTGTTGAACCAAATCTGCCACAGCTTGATTTGAGCAATCTAGGTAGGAGCTCAAGGAAAGTTGTGGGGGATTGTACCCATATAGTGCCATAAAAGGAGACATCTTTAGGCTAGAATGATAGCTGGTGTTATACCAGAATTCAGCTAGTGCTAACCATTTGATCCACCTATGAGGGTGTTGATTAGTGAAACACCTGAGGTATGTCTCCAAGCATTGGTTCACCCTCTCTGTCTGGCCATCACTTTGGGGGTGGTAAGCTGAAGTCATATCCAACCTAGAGCCCAATAATTTGAACAGCTCTGCCCAAAAAGAGCTTGTAAAAACTCTATCCCTATCAGTAACTATGCTGATAGGCTGACCAAGTAATTTAAAAATGTTATCCAAAAATAATTTGGCCACAGTAGAAGCACAGTATGGATGAGACAAGGCTAAGAAATGAGCATATTTAGTAAACCTGTCCACCACTACTAAAATAACATTTTTCCCTTCAGATTTAGGTAACCCCTCAATAAAATCCATAGAAATGTGTGTCCAAGCCCCCTGTGGGATTTCCAATGGTTGAAGCAGACCAGGGTAGGGATTGGTCTCATGTTTGGCCAATTTACAGATATCACAACTCTGAACTAACTGAATCACATCCCTCTTTAGTCTAGGCCAATGAAAGATACTTCTGACCATCTGATAAGTGGCATGCATCCCTGAGTGACCCCCTATGGCAGAAGTATGTAAACTGTGCAGGATTTTGTCCCTCAAAACTCTATTATGCCCTACACAAATTCTGCCCTTGTGCCTCAGCACCCCCCCAATAACTGAATACTCTGGAAAAACAGCAGAATCAATGGCTTTGGCAGCCAGGATTTTGTTTAATTCATCATCCCCCTCATAACTGCTTATTATCTCAGTCACCCACAAGGGTATAACAGTAGTGAGGGCAGAAACCTGTGCACCATAATCCTGCCTAGATAAGGCATCAGCCACCTTGTTTTCAACACCCTTCTAGTATTGAATTTCATAATCCAACCCCAACAATTTAGTGATCCATCTCTGCTGCAAGGTAATATACTTGATACTCTGCTGATCTGTCCTCATAATAAAATGGTGCCCTTGCAAGTAGTGTTTCCACCTCTGTATGGCCATTAATACTGCCATAAATTCCCTTTCATAAATAGAGAGGTTTTGATGTCTGGGGTTGAGAGCTTTGCTGAGAAAAGCAATAGGTTTTCCCTCCTGCATCAGCACAGCTCCTAAACCTTTGGAACTAGCATCAGTCTCCACCACAAAAGGTTTGGTAAAATCTGGCAACACTAGAACAAGTGAGGTCACCATTGCACTTTTCAACTGTTCAAATGCAGCTTCAGATGTAGAAGTCCAATAAAATCCACCCTTCCTTAGCATATCAGTCAGTGGTTTACTGATAATGCCATAGCCTCTAATGAACTTTCTGTAATACCCAGTAAGACCCAAAAATCCTCTAAGTCCCTTAAGTGTGGAGGGTTTAGGCCAATCCACCATGCATCTGATCTTCTCAGGGTCAGTAGCCACTCCCTCACAACTGATAATGTGCCCCAAGTACTCTATAGATTTCTGCCCAAACTGGCATCTGCTCATTTTAGCAAAAAGGGTATGCTGCCTTAGGAGGTCCAGTGTAACTTCAAGGTGTAGCAGGTGTTCTTCCAAACTCCTACTATAAACCAGAATATTATCAAAAAACACCAATATAAACTTTCTAAGTTGTTTTTGAA